ACTTCAGAATTTAGATTTATTACTTAAAAAAATACACTTGGTAACTGACAAACATCAAAACGACGAAGTTCTTGAAACTTGTGCCAAAACTTTAGAAATTCTTTGTTCAAAAAACAATTCTACATTAGCTACCAGGTGTAGTGTTCAAAAAAGTACACTAATGGACACCATTACTAATAAACACAGAGAAGCTATGGATGATTGGAACAATCTAATTGAAGGAGTAAATAAATAAATAATTATATTATTATTTTCTTAAAATATTGAACCATTATTTATAATGATATTTAATATTTATTCTACAACAAACGTTATTTTAGAATGAAAAACCCGACGATGATGAAATCTACAATGTGGTAAATAGTATGAAAAAGATTTCTATATTTTATTCATGTCATAACTTAGGGCCTTGGAATTTGTGGGATATAATTTTCAAAGACTTAAAAATGGCCCATGAAGGTTCAAAACCACTGCCAGAAGAAGTAATTTAATATTTGTGCAAATTTTAAATTGAATTATTTATTTTATGATTTTTTTACTTGTTATGAAAGGCTATCAAATATAGTATTGCTGCGTGTATGTTTGCTACAATGTGGGAATTACACAGTGTTGAAAATGTTTTGGAAAATGGACGTAACGAAGATATAGAAGAACAAGTGGCGCAAGTTAAGACTAAGCTCTTTGATTTCATGGATGTTCTTCGAGGAATTTTAGCACATTCTACTAATCCTCTATTCAAGGAAGAGGTACTTTTCTTCTATTATCTTCTGAGAACCATAGAACATTTATTTTTAATAAATATTGTTTATATAGGCTTATATATCAATATGTGACTTACTTGTCGTTTTTTGTAATCAATTGGGTGTTAAACATTATCCAGTTCTGGGAAATCTCATTTATGATTCTGACAAAGAACTTCAAGATTTATTGAATAATTTTATTCAAAAAAATGTGTTTGTTTATGAAGAAGAAGGTGATTTATATATTAGATGTTCTTAAATGTATTGAATTTTGAACTATATACTTAGACTAATAAATCCAAATTAATAAACAGGTGTTCAAGATGAACATTCAAAAATTGAAGAACTACATAAAAGAAGAAACTTTTTAGCATCTTATTGTAAATTAATTGTGTATGGGATGATTCCGGTTACTTGCGCAGCAGATATCTTTAAGCATTATGTCAAAGTATGAATTGAAATAGTATGAAATTAATAAATATGAACTGATTATTAATTATCTTTTTTATTAATACTTAGTCTTATAATGAATATGGAGATATTATTAAGACTACAATTGGAAAGGCCCGTGAAATTAATAAAGTAATTTGTGCCAGAACTATGGTTGTCAGTTTAATCACATCATTTAGAGAACAACAAATCAACTGTGGCACGTTCCGTATCTCAAGATCTTCTCAAGAGTTCAGCAGTTTAAAGGTATAGTTTAAACTTTAACTAGAATTAACATTACTAAATCAAGTTGACTGAATACTACAATTTTTTTTATGTTAGGAATTGGCCAAAAGATTTGCTTTATCATTTGGATTGGATGCATTAAAAAATCGTGAAGCTATGGCAGCTTTACATCGTGAAGGTGTTTTATTCGCTGTAGGTACTGATGAAGGAATTGCTCAAGATGATCCATCGGTACCACCTCCACATGTTGCATTTTTGGAGATATTAGCAGAATTCACCAACAAACTTCTTAAACAAGATAAACGCATTGTGTATGTATATCTTGAATTTGTTTAATTCAATAATTACTTATCCTAACTGTTGTTTATTTTTTTAGTCTTAACTATTTGGATAAACACATTACATCAGCAGTTCCATCAAGTCGTAGTGAAGATTGGCAGCCTTGGGTCATTTATAGAAACAGCCTAATGCATGGTGATGCTGAACCTGGACCAGTAACTTCACGGCGAGCATACACACGTAGAAACAAAAAAGAAACTTGTAAATAAACCATTTAAATATATAAAATAAAAAAAAAATTCATAACTATTTTCAAAATTTATTTTTTAGATGACGACGATGACGATGAAGGGTCAGATCAAGATTTTGGGTAATAAAAAATTACTGTTTTAATTAAGTTGTACATTTTATATACTTGGATAACATTCATTTTTAATGCTTTTGCATCTATGTGGAGAATTATTTTATTTGTAATATTTTTGCAGTCAAAGTATGCTTTTATTATTTTTAATTTATTAAATTTTCAATGCTACATTTTTTTTTTTTTTCAGTTACTAAATTTTAAGCTGTTATCACCAATGTCATCTTGGAATTTTTGTATGCACCGTTGTGTGTTCCTATCGTGTAATAAAATATATTTTGCTATCCAATTTGTGTTTATTTTGATTTTTGAAATTAGTTAATTTGAATATTTTAATTTAATTTAATGTAATGTGTATCAATTACTTTTAAATGTATATAAACAATGCATGCATTTTTGATAAATGTGATTGATAATAATTATAATAATTTATATTTTGGCTATGTGTTTTAGTTATTTTTTATTAAATTAAATGTATGGAAAATATTATTTCCAATATGCATGAAATTTAGTTTGGGATTTTAAGATATTTTTAAATATTATATTTTGACAATATCTTAATTTAATCAACATTATGGAGAAAAACGTTTACCTATATTATAATAATTTATATGAATAGTTAATTTGCAAGATTTACCCTTATACCTTAAATTATAATATGGTAAGTAATAAAATAATAATTTTTATGTAACTCAAATATTTCATAATAAATATATTATGAAAATATAAAATGTTGTTTATTAATTTTATTGAGTTTTATCTACTTATTTATTCGGTTTATTGAGCTTTGTTATATAATTTGAATTTGAGTACAAAATATTTTTAATGCTAATTTTTTATCAGATAAATACATGCAAAAACTTAAATTCATACCACTTAACTCACTAGGTAGTTTGAATCATACAATTGATTAAACCTTTTATTTTATCAATGTTTACTACTTTTTGATACTCACAGAACTCCAAGTATACAGAATGAAGCACCATTAAAGAAAAGGAAATCAAGGATTATTAAGTAAGTTTATATGAACCCATATCCTCTTCAGTACTTGTTATTTAAAATATATATATTTTTATTCTTCATTTAGATCAATAAGATCACAAGATAGCCGCTCTGAATTGAACTCTGATGAAACTAATTGGTCGGACAGTACTGTAGCTGGTGGCTCTCGCCCAACACGTCAATGCATAAATCGGTCAATACCCTATCGTTATATTCAAGAAGACGATGATGACGATGATTAATGAAGCATAATAATTTAACAGTTATAAACTCAACTCACTTTTTGTTTAAGATGATTTCTTGTTTTTTCTGAAATCTTAACAATATAATGTATGAAACGAGCTATCTATATTTAACTTGATTGCAATTAAGAATTTTTTGAAACTACAAATATTTTATTCCTATATTAAATGGTATTGTCTATTCTTGGTAAGCTAAAGTTTGTTATACATTAATTTCCTCAATGATATGATAACAAATGTCATAAACGTAATAACAAATGATATGATATTTTGACATTTCGTAGATGAACAATATATAATTTTAAAATCAATCGATTGTGTCCTACACTAAAGGTGTATAGTAGACAGAAATTATTTTTCATAAAATAGGTAAATAACTACTCATTATTTAAAAAAATTTTCATTTTTTTTTTAAATAAAAAGTTAAATACAGTTAGTGTTTTGCATAATTTAATTATTATAATTTTAGGTTATACACAGGGTATTTATAATCTACCATAATATTATGTAACACTTTTTTGTCACTCAATATATTAATGACCTTTTATATAACCTATAGTATTTTTCATTTATTATAACTTATAAAAAAAAAATGATTAGTTACTAATAATTAATTTTTAAAGATAAATGAATTTGTTTTTTTTCCTAGATTTCAGATGTCAATAATTCTTTAAGTAACTATTTGAATTATATAATAATACTGATACAGGAGCAGATAATTTGGAATACTGGAAATGCATTAAATGTATATGAAATGTCAATGTAATATACATAAATATTAGTGTGAGAGAGCTAAAATCACTTAAGATTCTGATATAAAATTGCCCCTAAACCTACTAATTTATTAGGGAAAACTGTTAAAAATGAAAGAATTTCCAAGTAATACCAATGGTCCGATGATGGTTTGACAAAAGATTTGTATTCATTAACCTCTAAACTCGGTTGTATAGGAAAAATATTTAATGTTTGCAACTCAACATGATACATTAAATAATTGAAAATTGTATTTATTTTTTTTGTTTTTTGAGTATATTTTATAAAAATAATTTTGATTTTAAGGCTTGTTAAATGAAAAAATATTTTGCTTACAAAGCCTAGAAAAGAAGCTAATAAATTCATAAAAGCATTCAAAATATTATTTAGACATAGGCAAGTACCAGTGACCAGTATTTGCCTGATGCATTTCCCTAGTAGTAGCCGCTAGCCATAATATTAGTTATGTGATATTATTTACACGTATAATTATTATGCTATTTTTACTATTTGTACCAGGGTTTGAAATTTTGTCACCACGCTACTGAACAAAACCACAATAAATATAAGGTGCTCTCAGCTCTCTGCTGGCCTTAATATGGTTACTTTCATATTAATTCACTTATGTTCTCTTTATATTGTTTAACATTTAGGTACTGTTTATATTTTATAATTGTTGAGTAATTCTCAACAGTTGATATTAATTTTGTACTTAAAATAAATAATAGTATTTAGCAATTGCAAGTACAATATAACACTATAATGTGTATTTATCTATAATTTCAATAATTTTGATAGTTGCATCAATATGTTTTTGAGTAGCATACAAAGTAATATGTACAAGTAAAATATTAAAATATAATATTCATTAATCATTAGGATCAATTATATGAAATGTAAAATATTAATTATAATATTAATTTAATTATCTACCAAAATTGGTTTCTATTATTCACAAATAGTTACTCCTAATTTTTTCCTTATATCTTCAACCAAAATTGCATTCTCAATACTTAGTGACCATGGAACTGTACTGCTCTCATTTTCACCTGCAATAATATACATAACATTTATTTAAGCAATTGAGTTAGGATTTTGAACTATTTATATTATAAATTATAATATATTTTATTGACATTTCTATGAACTTTGTTATGATTTATGCAAAACTGCAAAATTAATATTTTTTTAAATTAAAATTACCTTTCAGAAGACAATCTCTAACTTCTTGAATCTCGTGAATTAGTTGCACACTATTACCATATCTAGTTGCTTTTTTTGTTTTAGGCACCTCAATATGAATGTCTGTTCCATTTATGGAAATTTTAGTTGCTGACCAGAATGGATCGTATAACTAACAAAATCATTTTACTATCACATAATTTAATCATAGGTCATTTTTTAATTAATTTTACTTTAATATTTCCTTTAGTGCCAAATACAGTTGCCTCGTTGGGTAGGTTAACTTTGAAATGGCTTAAAAATGTAGAAATTCTACCATTGCTATACTTCAAAATTATACTTGCATCCTTATCAAACCCACATTCTGTCAACTGTCCACAAGTTCCATAGATTTGTGGCTTTTCGGGGCCAAACAGGAATTGGCTCATGTAAACTGAGAATACAGCCAATTCTAATATTGATCCACCACTATTTCGCCTATCAAATTTTTCAAACAATTATTAAAGAACATTTCTTTGAACCAACTATAAGGTAGGTACTGAGTGGTTCATTACTGTTGAATTAGTGATTCGGACATTGGTGTACCGAATGAAGAAATTATTTGCAATGGTTCACCAATAGTACCTTTTTTGATTTGATCTCCTAAAATAGTGAAAGCTGGAGTGAAAAACATCCACATGGCTTCCATAAGAAACAAATTTTTAGACCTCGCAAGCTGAAATAGTAAAAAAAAAAATTGTTGTTTTCTTATCAACTGAATATTGAAATAGGTAAGCTTACATTTAGCTATTAAACCAGACATGTTAATAAAATACAAGTATGAGATATAATTACTTCAACGAGCTGTTGGACTTGGTTAGAATTTTGACAGAATGGTTCTTCGCATAAAACATTCTTCCCGTGTTCCAACATTAAGCGGCTGACAGAGTAATGGTGTTCATTGAGGGTGCCCACATAAACAACGTCTGTTAAAAAATAAGTTACACATCACATAATAATTATTAATTATTAATAAATATCATATAGGTGTTGACTATTATGATATATACAGGGTGTCCCGTGAGGATTTACTCATTATCCGTAGAGGGGGACTCGCCGCCCGGACAAAAACCAGTTTATTGACGTTTTACTAATAAACTAAAAAAATTATTAAAAATCATGAGATTAATGAAAATAAAATGTTAAAAGCTCAAAATGTTCACAAAAATATACTCTATAGAATGGCTATCTTCAATTTTTTCAAAAATGAAAAAATAAAAAAATAATATTTTTAACTTTTTTACTAAAAAATTTAGTTTAATTAAAAAATAAAATATTTGTAGTGCTTACCTCTGCGAGTCTTAATAAAAAAACATAATTACGATATCTCCATTATTTCAGGAGATATCGCAATGAGTAAATCCTCACGGGACACCCTGTATATATACAATAAATTTAAAAATTAAATCATCTTACCTACTTCGGTGTCATTTGCCATGAGGGAATAAGAATCGTAAGCATTGGGAATGTCAAACTGTTCGGCGAATTCCCGGGACCTCACCTTGTCTTTGGACGCCACTGCTGTGATCAAGTGTTCTTCCCGTGGCAAAGTATCCATGGCCACAGCAAAATCGTGTGATATATTGCTGGTTCCTATTATTCCCCATCTGGTCGCCATCTCTACAAGGTGATGTACCTAGGTACAACTGAATTAATCGCGTCTGTCGAGTGCACCAAATCGGCAATACTTAAATTTTGACGAGCTTGCACGAGTAATAGAAATCTGTCAACAGCGAATCACCAAAATATGATGCACAGATAAGTGACAACCTGTTACCTGTGCAGTTTGCACATATACAAAATGAAACACTTCGTCAGTGCGACGGTACTATGAAGCTATTGATTATTGTTATTATTATTATTATGATTTATGATTATGTATACTGCATAGGTTAAAAAGTTAAAAATATTAATACACTCCCAGGCGCGGGTCACAGAAGATTATCAATGTAAATACTGTCAATTATAGAGTTATATAACTTATGTTATAAATTATAAAAAGCAAAATGTCTGTTATTAACTAATCTGATTACACAATTATTTATGATTATGTAAAAGGAATCTTAATCGCTTCTAACCACGATCGTGCTAAGTACTAAGTAGGTAGGTACCTCCACATCACTGAGCAGTCCGCGCAATTTGACATTTTAAAATCTGACCGGTCCATCTGATACAATATAGGTACCTACATAATTAATTGATTAATAGGTATTAGGTACCATACACTGATGTGTTTTTCTTGTGTTTGAGACGTTTAGGATCTTTAACTTTGAGGATGATATCTGGTGAAAATCGGATCTAGTTAGTAGTTAGTCATTTAAGGTTGGGACTAGGGGATGAAAAGTAAGAAAGATATTTTTCTTGACATGATATTACTTTAAAAATATTTTACCTCTTTTTCTGCTTTTAATAGACATTTGAAATTTTCAACCATTGATTTACGTATGAACATTTTTATTTGAGAGTAAAATAACTGGACAACATTTTATACAAGATTCCTCAGAAGTTGATTTTACCACAATTAAAAAGAAATTATTGAAGTTCAAATTTTAACGACATTTCAGATATTTAAATTTATTTCTCCTCGTGCGATTTTTGTTATTGTTTATTATTCAAAAAATATTAAATATAGAAACTAGAAACATTCTACTGTCGAAGTTACCTATTACCAAACTTACCACAGTAATAAGATATGAACATTATCTGTATGACTGTATTTTAGCCTTAGATCATATACTATGGATGGAGCCACTGCGTATTATAGCAATACAAAAAGTTGAAGCCGATATTAGCGACGAGTCACCGAATTAGGTGATCGATATGCGCATGCGCGAAACAACTCGTTTAATATTAATATTATAATCACCAGCTGATAAATATGCGAGAGGTTGCGTTGCACATGCGCATATCGAACACCTAATTCGGTGACTCGGCTGGGATGGGGACAGTTATAATATTAATATTAAACGAGTTGTTTCGCGCATGCGCATATCGATCACCTAATTCGGTGACTCGTCGCTAATATCGGCTTCAAAATAATATGCAGTGGCTCCATCCATAGTATATGATCTAAGATTTTAGCATGGGTTTTTAAGAGGACGTGATACCCGTATGCGTTGTCTCCGTCTTACAAATCTACAACATAGCAAAAAACTGTTTTTCGAGGGATTGAACCACTCCTTCGGTATTAAGAGTATAATAACCAAAATTCCACAGCGCATAGGGAACAACTTTATCTGTGTCGTAGCGTTTTTATTATTTGGATAACATAGATAAAATTAAAGTTATCAGTTAGGTATAGAACTTTAGGATTTTTTTTGTTTTTTTCATTTAATTATTAAAAATTATTGGTAAATGTTATAAAAAAAAATAAAAACTACGACACAGATAAAGTTGGTCCTTATGCGGAATTTTGGTAATTCTACTATAAATAGCAAGGGAGTGCTTCTATCCCGACAAACAGTTTTTTGTCATATTGTACATTAGTAAGACGGAGACAACGCATACTGGTATCACGTCCTCTTAACGATATTTGAATTATTTATTAACCAGTTCTGAGTAGCTATGTGAAATATTACAATTTAAAAATTCTTATAAATAGGTAACTTAAACATTTAAAAATCGTAAGAGTGTAAGACCCTCGTAAAACACAGATAATTTTCTTACCTTAAAGTTTGATAATACCTAGGTAAATTGAGTTAATTCACACTATTATTAAAGGTTGTTATACACCTAGTTGGAACCACTCGACCACGGCTAATGGCTATAGATGGTTCTAGGTCACTTTGTACGGTCGAGCATTAAAAGTGCGAAACGCGGACACTTTGTACGGTCGGGTAAAAAGGTACATTGCAGAACGCGGACACTTTGTACTATTATATACATAAAGTATATATATTATAAATATAAGTTATATACCTAAGTAGTAAGTATATAATAATATTATAAATTATAATGTAAATTATTAAAATATAAAAATTAAAAATAAAAAGTAAATTGTTTATCGTATATTAATAATGATCAAAATAATTTAATAATCAAACAATCAATAATATTATTATAAATCTTAATTGTATTATAATATTAGATATCAGTTTTAAAGCAAATAAAAAATGTGTACAATATAAATATGTCATAATGACAAATAAAATATAATAATGAAAAAAAATCATTAAAAACTACATGCATAGTACCTATAATATGGAAATATCTCAAAATGACAAGTAAAGTATAATATTGACAAAAATTTAAAAAAACTACATAATATTGTATAGTATAATAATATGAAAATATGGCAAAATGGTATCAAGCTTAGATAAAAAGTGCACATACATAATTATTTAATATTAAGGGTTTAATAAATCAATTTTAGAATAATTCGTCAAAATGAACGATCTATAAAATATCAAATTTCCATTCTTTAATATTTAAAAAAATCTTTAAAACCTACATGTATAATATGACAGTGTCTTAGTGAAATGCATTTATAACATTGCAAAAGGTTAGATTCCCCAGATTATATAAAATGTATTTATAACATTTTTAGTAAAATTTGTCATATATAATATATATTATTATTTACTTGCTAACCTAGGTATATAACTTATATTTATAATATATATACTTTATGTATATAATAGTACAAAGTGTCCGCGTTCTGCAATGTACCTTTTTACCCGACCGTACAAAGTGTCCGCGTTGTACATTTAGAACAATGGACCGTACAAAGTGACCGTTTACCCTATAGATAGGTACCTACATTATATACATATTAGTGTATTACATATTATACCCAAATTTACTATGTTGTATGTTTGTACGAGATGGAAGAAACATATTATTATATACGCAGGTGTGTCCTATGTGATCAGTTATGAGGAAATTTCAAATTTGATAACATTTCAAAACCTTATATGTACAGGCTACAATATAAAAAATATTCATTATTTTGACGAATGTAGTCAAAATTCTAACTTTAAACACTTATAAAAAAATCATATCATATTATGGAGTATTTTGTGTATGATGCATTCGATTATACTCAGATCGGGAACATGAAATTATGTGAGTTTTCCTTAGGTTGACTTTTAATTTCTCCGTTTATTGTAATTATTCTACCTTTACGTGAACTTTCTACGCAACGCCAATATTGTGTAATTTTTTTTTCTATCTTCAGAATGTAAAAAGCCACTATACAGTATACACTAATATATCTTTATTTTCACGTTTATTGCCCAACATGAACAGACGTCGTTTTCGTTTGTCCGTTACCTTTTGCGCACTACACTAATGAGTCAAACTTAATATTGTTAATCAAAACATGTCTCGGAATACCCCGAAACGCAATTTATCTTCATCATCATCTTCACCTACAAAATCTAACGAAAACCAAAGTAAAGTATTCATCACACAATTCACACCAAATTGCTATGCTTCACTCTCCGAGGACAATGTTTTCGATCAGGAGGTGTTTAGCCCTCCCTCTATCACAACACCTTCCAAAGTTCAGTGCAACACATCACCCAGTCACGTGGAATCCTTTCCAAGTAAACATTTTTATTTTGCACTTCCCTTTTATTTAAGTGGTGGCTACGAATTCAACAAGCTCAAGAAATCTCTACTCGACCTTTTCATTCCTATGGGTATTAATTTTAAAAATACTCCAAAGCATCTGATTATCCGCACCGACGGCGTCAACAATTATAATTTAGTTTATAGTTACCTTATCGCTAATGAACAGATAAAATTCCACACTTACTTAGTTACTTGCCTAATCGCTCGAAACCATATGCCGTTTTTATCAGGCACCTCCACCCGACCACTGCTGTATGCTATTATTACCACACTAGTAATTTTTGCCACCAGTCCCCACGTTGCGGCAAATGTGGAGATAACCATTACAATTCAGATTGCACCAAAGCACCGTCAGTACCCGCCAAGTGTGCCCTATATGTTCGGGGCCGCACACAGCCTCATACAAAGGTTGTCCAGTACTCCAGTGTTTAAAAAACTAAGTGAAAATCGCAGAAAATCTAAATCACACAAACCTTATCGTCATCCGGCTCTCAATGACACATTGACACCATTCTGTCTTTAAACAAATTTACCTCCAGCTTCAACCAGAAACAAAATAGTTCATATGCTAATGTTACTGCCAATCATACTGTCAACACTTCACCTTCAACAGCTACACCCGAAAGCCTGCAGATCTCCAAATTTCTCGAGGACCTTAAAGCCATAATTAACCCCTTATTACTTCTACTAACTACAGTTGTCAATCACTTACTCTCCGGACACGGCTGTTTCCGGAGTTACCTGTCGCGGTTCAACCGGGCCGAGGACAGCTACTGCGTGTATTGCATGGACCCCGAAGACACGGCAGAGCACACCATCTTCGCGTGCCCCAGGTGGGAGGATGAGCGTGCCGTCCTGACCAGAATCTTAAGACGCCCACCAGAGCCCGGAGACGTCCAGGGACTCCTGTGCGGCCCTAGGCCTGAAGAACTACCCGACGAATCGACAGCCCGGTCAAGGATAGCAGATCAGGCTACGAAGAACAGTCGGGAGTTCATGGCGATGGTGGAATCGATCTTGAGCACCAAGGAAGACGATGAACGG